GGTCAAATTAGCTCAGGGTTACAAACATAGGTTATGCGAGATGAATGTTTATAAAGGATTCGGAATTAATGATAATGAGTCATTAAGGAATGTATTTATTTAGTTAGTCATTTAGTCGGAGCAAAGAGTTCAATTATATCATCACCATCTCTTTTTTCTTTATTAGCATTGGCGTTGTATTTATAATTTCCAAAATCCAAGGGTCCAGGACCCAAATCTGGGGTTTCAGACCCTCATCGGGGGTTTCAGACCCTTATCGAGGGTTTCAGACCCTTTACTATGGTCTCACAGCCATTCCATACAATGAATACTAATACAATAAAAAAAATATTACAAAGGAAATTCGAATACAAAATTTTTGTAACAACAGTACGTACGAAGTTCTTTTTTTCGGATGAATTCATTATAAAATTAATTAATTAATTAATTATTTTTGCTTCTCTCTTTTATAATAGGAATGTAATGTTGACAATCTATCTGACCTAATTAGCAACTCAACTAGAATCTCTAGACTAATTTAACTTGAAGTCAGTTTGTTATAATAGATTACTACATTAAAAATAGGTTGTTCATTTTATATGTTCGTTTCATTTGCCCCCCCTCCCCCCCTCTCCGAGAGTCCTGGAAAGTGATGTTATCCGAAAAATTAACTTCAAACGGCCTAAGGAAAGTCTCGAACATAAGGCAAGCATCTTGGTGGTACGCAAGAAATTCGGCTAGTGGGTAATAGTCACACAACCAGCATGGAAGTCGTATGACGAAGCTTCGTTTAAAATTTCAAAAATGCAGATTTTAGTTTTTTTTCCTAGGTATTTCAAGCTTTTTCAAAACTTATAGCGTGGGTTTCTCGACAACCACTAAACCAAATTCAATGAGCTTTTTTTTATTTTAATTTTACAAATATGTAGAATCAAAATAAACAGTTTACAACAGTACTAAATTTGATCGAATGGTTACTGAGAAATCGTCGCTAAAAGTTTAAAGAAATTGAATGTTTTGGCTCCGGAATTAGATCGGAAAGGATCTACAGTGATCTTCAGCCCGGAATTTTCTTGACATAAGGAAACCCTCATCGAATCTACCTCGAACCTGGAACCCTAGTCGCATATCAATGCATAGCAAAATAAAATCAAAACCTAATCTATATATTGATGTTAAAAAAATCGATAATACTTTGTTGACTGTCTATCTAATTAATAATTACTATTAAAAATGACAAAGAATAGTAGTATTACTTTTCTCTTATATGGTTAATTGAATTAATAATAAGCTAATGTTGATATCATCTATTTAAATCTAGATCTTCCGTTTCTGGTTTCGCCCGATCCGGTCCTATAAGTGGCTGCTTAGAAAAAGACATTACATTATAAAGTAGACGAAACCTGATTATTTGAGCAGAGGCCTTTCTCGATTTTGACAGCTGCCCTACCTTGTTTAGTACTTCAGGGAGCATGAGGAGAGTATCTTTTTACGTTGCGAATACAAAATAAAATTTCCAATTATAGAACATATTTAGAAATTTATTTTGTGCTCGAAAAGCAGGAGGGTGCTCTCCTCATGCAATATGCACCCCGACCAACTAAAACGATCTCTGCTAAATATTCGTAATTATGCATGCATAAATTTAATTTTAGTATAAATGACTTTTAACAAATTAGACAAAGTGCCGCGCTTGGACGAATCATCAAACAAAAAACAAAACAAACTTAACCAACAAAGTCTTAGTTTCCTGTAATTCATATAAATATAGCCAAACAATATTTGATCGGAATATGTAATGTGTCTTTGACATTAAGAACGAAAAATTTAACGCTAGGGACATATATTTACTATACTTTGTTGCTGAAAAAAAAAGGAAATTTTAATAGACTTTATTAGCGATAAATCTAAGATTTATAAACATTAAATACAAAACTATAAAGTCATATCTCAACATTCTTTGTCTCTACACAATGCTTCCGTGTTATACGTCATGCTCAGTGTACTAGAATTGTTTATTTGCGATAGAAAAAGAAAGGCAAAAGTGTTCTTATTATAAAAATTAAGCTTATTACATAATAGTTATTTCTTAATAAAATTACAAATACAATGAATTTTTCTAATATAATTTTAATACTAGTTAAGCAAAAAATCCGATAACCGCCAAGGAATAAAATATACATATGCTTTTTTTTGCAAAACCATACGAGATTAAGCGAAAAAGGAATACGAGAATAAAGAAAATCGAAAACGAATAAAATGACAGGGAGAAATAACTTATAAGTAAAGTGATTTGGGGAATAAATGAACCAGCGCCAATACGACTTAAGTAAAATTTCATTTGTTTAACGATTTAATTTGGAAACGAAGATCCCAAAAATACAATTTCTGGTAAAGGTGGAGTTTGCTGTGGAGCTCCGGTGTACTGTGCTGTAGTAAATGGATCTATTCCTTCGATTATATTCTTAATGAATTCGGCATTTTGATCATTTTGATGTTCTCCACCATTAATGTTGGCTTGATTCATTTTTGGTAGAGGTAAAAATCAAAAGTCACTCTTGTTATAGTGAAACCCTTGTTTGATATCAAAAAAATTTCAATTTCAAAAAATAAATAAATATAAATAAAATAATAAAACGAAAAAAAAATGCCAATTTGGAAAAAAGTACCGATTCAGAAAAAAAAAAATCGTTTCAAAAAAAATAATTAAATCTTAAATTCAACGAAATTATTACATTGATTGTGCGTGCAGCAAATTACTAATCAGAAAAACATTCACCACCCTTTTACAGAAAGAATATTTTTTAGTTTAACTATTGTATGAAACGGAGAACTACGCAATAATTAAAAAAAATAACTTCAGGTGGGATTAAGATTTAAGGTTTGAATAGACTTTCTAGTAAAAGTGTTATTCACAGGTGGTTTTGGTGGGTTTAAAAGGAATTCAGTCGAAAATGCCTTCTTTTCGTCATGTAAATCATTTTTCAACTCTGTGGACTTTTTATTTTCTTTTGAATCCAATTGATCTAGAATAACATTTAATTCCTCAATTTTTGGGCGTCGAAGAGGTTCAGCATTCCAGCATTGAGTAATAATATGTTTAAGTAGTTCTGGTGTATTCGTTGGAAGAATTGGCCTTAAGCCATAACGAATTCTGGATAATAAGCTATTAATGCTTGTGGATGTAATATTGTAATATGGAGATAAATTTGTCAATATCTCATATAATAAAATGCCAAATGAGTATACGTCTGCTTGATAAGAATTTTTTTTATCGATTAAAACTTCTGGAGCCACATATGGTATAATTCCAAATCCTTTATTAGCATCGCATTTCCAATTGGGTTCATATATATGATCGATACCTTTCTTCATTAAATGTGCTGCAATCAACATTTTTCCGCTGTGAACGAAAATGTTTTGTGCATTCTAAAAATTATCATTTTAAATAAATGAATATTTGCTTTTAACTACATTTAGAAAATTTATGCTTATAGTATATTAATAACTTACTAGGTCTCCATGAATAATATCATATTTGTGTAAGAAAGCAAGACCTAGTGCTATTTCTCTGGAAAACCGCAATTTATCATTCCATTTGAGGCTCATGGAATTATGCTTTAGATATTCTTGCAGATTCCCATCGTTAGCGTATTTCAAAACCATATAGTTATTACAGCACGGATCTATTTATTATAAGAATTAATTTTAGATTATGTGAACATATTAGACTTATTTAATGTCACAGCTGATGTCAAGGTCGCTGGTGCTGAGAATCGAAGCATTATTTATGTTTTTTATCTTTAGAATTAAGTTAGTTTAGGATAGAATTATTAATAAAAGTGTACATGTAGATTTTAGTAGGTTTAATAGCTTTAAAGTTCCTCAAATCTCAGCATTAACAGATCTCAGAATCAGCTGCGACATTTAAATCATCACCTTTAGTTAAACCATAGAACCGAACAATATTAGGATGAAAGCTAATTTTTTGTAAATTTCGTAACTGTACACATTATATAAAAAGCAAAATTAGTAATTTGAATTATTATTGAAATTAATATTTCTGAATAATTAGAAGAGCACCTCCTGTAAATAATCCTTAATATCTCTTCTCATTTTAAGAGCGACAAATTCTCCAAAATCCTTCGACTCAGTTTTATAAATGGGCGCAGAACCATATGCAATAATTTCATTTTGACCCTTAAACTGATCATATTCAAAGTACCTAATTCCTGGAATGTTCTCCATCTTAAAATAATTTTGATTTTTGCCCCCAAAATTTCATATTATTATCAAAAGCCGTTGAAATCTTATAGTAAATTACTAGAAATGCTAAAAGAGGATAGTAAATTATCTACAAAAAAAAGACCAAAATAAAAATGCAGTGTTAGTATAACAATTATAATTAATGTTTGTTACTTGTTATCTGCAAAGAGGATCTGCCCTCACTGACAATCATTTCATTGAAAGTTCATTTAGCTAACATCACGCCAAGTGACAATTTATAGTAAAACCTTATAAGTGCATGCTTTAACAACGTGCGCTTAGAGATCAATAAGAGAAAGTGCATTTACAGGTAGCATGAACTTGAGCGTGCATTTAAAGAGGTTGGGCACTTATAGAGGGTACACTTATGGAGGTTTTACTGTACTAAGAATATATACGTACGTAAATGATAATCATTAATGAAAGAAATGACCGATGAAGTGTGCAGCACCGCTGCAAGAGGTGTAAACAAATTTATGTAGTGTTATATTGAGATTACGAATGTAAGATGCTAAGTTGCTCAAAACTGCTTAATAAAAATAGCTCGTTAGTATTTGAAATTTAAACTAAAATCAAAAAATGGTAAATTGTTAAACGATTATTGAAATCGTTAAGATTTAAAGCTTTTAAACTGCTCAAAAACACTGTTTAGAACCGGATTGTTCGGAAATGATTGGTGGCGATTAATTGGTTTGAGTACTATTCGCTATTAATTAAACTTATTATCAAAAGTGCCCGAGGGCACCCCACGTATGAAAAAAAAGTATTTTGCCCTTTTTTTTAAACTAGTTTATGTTACACTAAGCAGGATAACATCCCTAATTGAGGTGTATAAAAAAAAAATACGTGGAAAGGTTTACTTTATTGTGAACATGTCACTTGACCAAGAGATTCTCACATATGGGTCAAATTTCAATGTTTTCAAATATAAAGAATTTTATAGCGTTACAAAGATCGATGAAGGAGAGTTTGGAACTATATACAAAGCTTTTTGGAAAGATTGTGGAATTACTGTTGTCTTCAAAAAACTGAAAAATAATAAAGCATGTCAAATCACCCAAAAGGTATGTGCCATTCTAAGTGTAAACTTTGCGCATCATTTATAATTAATTGTGAATCTTCCATATTACCAATGTTTAAACAATGGTAACGTGCGGGATTCATAGGATTCACAAAATTCATTGATCGCAATAATTCGAAAACAGTTATAATAAGGTAGATATAACTGAGTCTAATATTATAAATTTGTTATATATACATATACTATGACTATATAAAACGGGATTTTAAAATTCCAGTTATATCCATAATTCACTGTATTTAATTGTTTTGTGATATTTATAGCTCAAATTCTAATTTTTATAACATGCGTAGCTTTTAATTTTGCAAAAAGTTTGTTTTCACCCCAATATTATTGAACTTTATGGTTTAACCATAGGTGAGTGGCTGTTTTTTACGCAAATTTTACAAAACACACTATAAGAATATATAATTCTAATAATTTAAAAACTAAACATAATTTTAAAAATAGATCCATCGAACGAATGTAATATAGTTCTACAATTTGCTGAAGAAGGAAATTTGAGAACATACTTAAAAAATAATTTTTTAAGGCTCAAACAAGCTGATAAATTGCGAATCTCCAGGGAAATAACACTAGGCCTTGTTTTTTTGCATAAGAATGATATTATCCACCGAGATCTTGTAAGCTATTTATATATCATATCTTTTTTTTATCCAATTATATAACCTAAATATATATTTACGAATTTTACAGAACACAAAGAATATCTTAGTTCATGAAGGAAAGATGCTAATTTCTGACTTTGGTCTCTCACATCATAATACGAATTCAGACTTAGTTAATCGTGAAAATCATGGTGCACCGGCATTCGTTGACCCTCAAGCCTTAATAGATTTTTATTATAATCTAACAAAAAAGTCAGATATATACAGTTTGGGAGTCATTTTTTGGGAGATTTCAAGTGGCGAGAAGCCTTTTAAAAATGATTCGGCAAAAACTATAATTTTCAACGCAATGAATGGGGTTAGAGAAACTCCTGTCGAAAACATGCCACTGCAATATGTTAAACTTTATAAAGTTTGTTGGGATGAAAATCCAACAGTGCGCCCAGAGGCATATACTATCAAAGAAGAATTGGATCAGATTATTAAAACGACGGTTTCCCACATAGAATGACGATTTCGTCTTTATTGACAGAACTATTGGGCAATTATTTATATTTCTAACTTTAAATACTTTCAAGTTAATATAATTGTCGGCTAAACTAAAAATCTTCACGAACTCTGGCAAAATCCCAATTTTAACAGTATTCCAATTTTGGCAAAATTCCAACTTTGGCAAAATTCCAAACTTTTTGGCAAACTCCAAAACTTTGGCAAAATTCCAAACTTTGGCAAGATTTAAAAATTTGGCAAAATATAAAACTTTGACAAAATCCTAAATCCTGGCAAAATCGAAAACTTTAGAAAATCTGGCAAAGCCCAAACTTCGGCAAAATATGGCAACATCTAAAAATTTGGTGAAATAATAAATATCGACAAAATACAAGTCTGGCAAAATCTGGTAAAATCAAGCTTCTGCGAATCCTAATTCTGGTGAAATCCCAAGCTTTGGCAAAACCCTAAATTCTGGCAAAATTACGACTTCGGCAAAATTTCAATACTAAAAAATTATATTGAATTAGTGCTAAAATTTTTTTGTATAATTTTTTGTATAAGATAATATGGGATTTCAGGCAAATTCTGTATCACTTTATATAGAATGTTTATATAAAAACTTTTGATGATTTAAAAAATGTATATCGTGCAAATTTCGCAAATAATAAATAGAATTAGATACAAATTTTGTATATAATAAATATAATTAAAGATCAATTTTCGATAACAGATAAACAAGATACGCGTTGTGCAAATGCACTGGGCTATGCGAAATATAATTAATGCAGGTTGTTCTATAGCAACTTAGTGTCTCACTCAATGGATCGGAAGGAATTTTTTAATTAGTCGGAAATTGAATAAATTAACCAAGTGAGTTACCATTTCGATGAACAAACCAGCGAGACATAAACCACCTTTTTTCTTCAAAAATTTACCATTTATAAAGGTCGCTCAAGCATTGCTTTTACATTTTTTACATATCAAACACAATAAACAATTAATTCTCGACAAATTTCTAACCGGTCTAAAAAGATAGCCACTTTAATTTTAATTTTAATGTTCGAAGCTTTTAGAACAAATAACCGACATCTTGATTTGAATGTAATAGATACGATCCATCCTTTAACTTTTAATAAACTATAATTAATACTGTTATTCCATTTTTCACTCATTTAAATTTAAAATCTTTTCAGTAAAGAAGGCCTAAAACTGAAAGGTTTGGCAACACGGTATGGTATGATCTTCATAATAATATATTTTTACAGTTCTTTTGACGACACTCATATTATAATTTATAGTAAAAGGGTTTGCTACAGTATATAGTTATAGTTGAGTTAATTGTGTTGGAGGGTATATTGAAGCCCGACACATGCCAGATCACGAGATTTGCACTACTAATGTTAATGTTTAGTGTGACGTTCGAATATCAGGTGACATTAAACGAACGTAGGATATTAGGGTGGTAACTCAACTAGGTAAATCAAAATTATATCAGCAATACTAGTAATTTTACTATGATCAGATTTTAA